AGCTATAACATGTAGTGTCTGCCTGGAGCAAAGTACAAAGAGTTGCTATAGCAGGGAGATCCAAAATGATGTGTATGTCCATGGATGCAGAAGAATAACTGTTGCTACATTGCTATTAATACAAATTTGTATTAACTGTTGCTATTAATACAAATTTGTGAAGGTCTTGCAGCAAAGAGCCATTCCACTGGCAGCCTAGAGTGCTGGATCCACCAGGCTATACCCTGCCTGCTGCAGGGGCCCCCAGCAAGCACCTCAGGAGCATCAGTGACAGGCTAGGCTTGTGTAAGATTTGCCTGCCCTAAGCACCTTTCCAGATCCCAGATATTTTTGTCTTAGGTGATTTCCAGACTTGCTATTGTTTGTGTGTTTAGGGTGTGCCTGCATTAGCATTTTAATTTTGAGTAGGGTCTTTTTCGATGTGAAGCTTTGGCTCAGCAGAGCAATCCTAGAGCACCCAAGTGGAGTCCTTCCAGTCAAAGCTAACCTGGAAGGTGTCCTCCAGAACACCTCCTAATTGCTCCAGCCCCTTCTGAGGGTGTCCAGGAGATCAGATCAGAATGCACTTGTACTGCAATAACCTCTCAGAAACAGCCAGTGCAGCCTGATGTAGTTGCCACCACTTGCTTGATCCCACAGATCCAACTTGCTAATGTGGTGCACCCCTGAATATTTCACTTTCAGGGATGTCTTCAGACCCCTCTTGAACCCATGTAATATTCTGGGAAGCTGGCATGTTTTATTATTTTGTTTTGGGGTGTTTTTTTTGTTTTGTTGTTGTTGTTGTTGGTTTGGTTTGGTTTGGTTTGGTTTTTTGGGGTTTTTTTTGTTGTGGTTTTATTTTGTTTTGGGGGGGTTTTTTTGGTTTTTTTTTTTTTTTTTGTTTTTTTTTTTTTTTTTTTTTTGTTTGGTAGGTTTTTGTTGTTTTTTTTTTTTGTGTGTGTGGGTTTTTTTTTTTGGCTGGGGGGAAGGGGGGTGGTAAAATGTGTACAAATCTTGTAGCTTTTGTCTGAACTCCTTGTATTTAGCCAGGCTGCTGCCAGCTCCCTTTGGTGATCATTCTTTTGTGTTGGACAGGCAATGGATCTGGTCCTCAGCCTCTTCTCTGCTCATGATTATGTGGAGGGCAGAGTTTTCTCCTGTACTTACTTTGGTTTGTGATGCTCAAGGACAGGATAAAATTGAATTCAGTGCTTTAGAAAAATCATCATTTCACTTGGCTAGTATTAAAGTATGTCTGGTAGCATGAAGTCAGCTGAAGTTGAAGAAATTAATCTTGTCTTAGCAATGATTATAGAGTAATGAGTATAGTGATAACATGATTTGTGGCTATGTAAATTGACTTCAGCAAGTCTTTTGATGCCGCTGGCAGTTAAATCTTTTCACTTAACAATTTTTAAAGCAAGCTAGGCTAAGGCAGTTTGGCAGGAATTACAGCAGGAGAATAAAAAGCTGTTTAGGAAATCATGTCCAGAGAGAAGTCAGTGAGTGCTCACTGTTAAAACAGAGGGATGGCTACAGCAGCATTCCTCAGTGTCTGCCTTGGGCCTAGCACCAGAGCACATTTTCATTAATCATTATGTGACGGAACAGAATGTGTTTGCCTATTAAATATGTAGATGACACCATGCTGAGAAGGGCTGTGAGGCATTTTGGAGAGGGGATGAGAACTCAAAAAATGGGGATGTGATCTGAATAGGAGCAGGTGTGAGGTATACATTTAGGCAGGAATGATGAACTGCACAAATGTGGGACAGGGAATGTTGGCAGCTTCTTCCAGGCTCTACCTTTCCCTGCAGACTGCTCTCAGTACTCCAGATATTAGTGGCACACAGAGTACCCTCAGCCACTGTTGTTTTTCTTTCTCCAGAATTTGTCAGGGCTGGGCTTGTTGAGGCTCAGGGCTGGTGGACACTGAATTCTTTAGCTGGGTTTCCTTATGAGGCCCTGAGAGTGACCATTGGACACTGAGCTGGTGACACAGCCATGCACACAGAGGCTTTCCTTCATATTCCTTCACATGTGTGGAATAAGTTTCTTGCACACAATGTCATGTTTTCCCCCACTGGTTGATGCCATCTGTCACGCTGTTTGTAGCACTGATCTCCTGGGCAGGCTCAGAAGCTGCAGGTATTAGCAATTTTGCTTGTTCAGTCATGTGCAAGGTTTGGCCAAGTCTTTGAGAATCAACCAGTTCAATGTCACTTCTTCCTCAGAGGATGATCTAGGAATGCCCAATCTAATATTTATGGAAATACTGTAGAACATGCAAATTTTTGCTGGCCAGTTGGTGAGCAGGGGAGGGTAGCCTGCAGAACATTCAGGAAGTCAAGCTTTGCTTGACTTTGCTGTGCATTACTTTGTCCAGTTTGTAGAGAATGAGAATCAGAGCCTAGCAAGGAAGATTGACAGGGAAGGGTTAATCTAACAACAAAGGGGATCTGTGAACAGTCTTCAAATGCATGCAGATACAATAGGGGGAATAATTTTTCCCCCACTTTCAAAGATGAAACTTCTGCTGCTGTAACGAATGCTGAAGTTGTATGTTCTGATGACACAGAGGTCCAAGCAGCAGAGATTTTCCTGGAAAGATCCATAAGAGCGGGACAGACAAATCTTTCTTGGGAATGATGGAAGTTCAATGGTCCCAAGAAGGGGTCCTGAGGCAGGGTTGGGAGTCTTTCTGTCAGGTGAGATCCAGACAGATTACCTGTGAAGGGGAAATGGAAATGAGCCCCCACCTAAACTTGCAGCCCTGTGTTTGAAATTTTGAATGAAGTATTTATAAGTGAAAGGTGTTTGCAAAGATGGAGAGCTGGATGCCTCTTACAGACAGACTTCCCTGCCCCCACCATGCTCTGCTCTGTCTCCTCACTCGTTTAGGTTTCTTTGTTTGTTTATTTGTCATGGAGTTTTGTTTATACTCTTTCCATCTTACCTGTTCCCTACTTGTTTTAGTATTACTCCAGCAAGTTTAATACTTGAAACTTTTAGGCATAGCATGTCTGTGAGAAAAATTTCTAAAATTGAGAACTAAAGCCACTCTCCTAAAAACAGTGTCAGAGAGCAAAAGGAGCAGTAATTTAAATTATTCAATAGAAAATGCAATTTTTCATTACATCTAAGTTTTGAAGTACATATTTAGAACATCATTAGCCAGTATATCTGTTGAAGAAATTCTGGTCTGTTTATTTTCTGAGCTTATAATTTATTTCAAGGCTTTTGTGCACAATTTTCTTTCTATTTTTATTAAATATTTTAATAATCAAAATAATGTATAGCAGAAAAATTAACTGGGAAAATTCTTACTATTTGTTACAATTTCTTTCCTTTATGGTTCAGCACAGTAGATGAAAGAGCAGTCAGCATTCAAATTTTAAATACTTTAAACAAGTATTCTGACGTGTGCATTGTCATAGGAAAAGATATATATTATTAGGGTTAGATAGATGTGGCTGGATAATTGTTGTTGTTTGACACACAGAGAATCACTCTTTTAGTATAGGTCAGATGTCTTCAGAAGATTCTGTGCTTAACCTTGGGTTACATCTTAACTTGTTCTGCTTTGTTTGATGTAGTCTAAAATATTTAGGTAAATATATAATGTGAAATATGTAAGCTGTGCTAATTCTCAATAAGTGTAGATTTGAAGGCTGAGCATGAGAATTTCAAGACCTTTTCCTTTCATTCAGCACAAGTAACTGTTATTATTTTGAGTAACTGTGCATATGTGGTGCTACACAGATGTCCAGAGTCTCCTCCTTAATTTAACCTTTGACCTCAACAGGATGTTTTCCTAGGAGAGAGAATCCCTTGTGTGAGAAGTATACCTGTCTGTTCAAGCTGGAATGCCATGGTCTAGGCAGATTCAAACAAAAAATTTTGTATCTGCTGAACTCTAAAGAGTAGTTAATATTAACTGAGCAGTAAAGTTAAGAAACATAAAAATTGCAGCTGCCTTCACTAAAGTAGTGTTTTTAGGAAAAAACAAAAGAAAACATGGTGACCAACAAAATAAAAGTATTTGTGAAATTCACACTGTGAAAGGAAGTTTTCAAAAGAGATTTAAAAAATGTATTTTTGCATTTCTAAGGACTATGGTACTGCTAATTAAATTAATGGGAAGGAAAAGTGATGCTCAGTGTATGCTTTGTTAATGTACAAGCATTCACTGTGATAGAGTCTATGGGGGTTAAGAGTAGCAAAATATCTTCAAACTTGCATGTTTTCAGAAAAACTCTGCTGTTCCTACATGAATCATCACTCATTTTGCACCTGTTCAATAACAGTAAATATTCTTATAAATAAATGTGGCTAGAGCATAAGAATTAGCATGCAATACTGTTTCTAAAGATTTGTATTCTGTCTTGAAGGTGCTCATTGGAAATGTTCAGTGTTTATTAGGCCTTTGAAAAATACTGGAAATACCATCTTCATAGCTGATACATATCTAACACTTATTAATTTCAATTACTGAGGGAAAATAAATATTCTGGTTTGCGCTATATTTTGGAATAATTCTATTCTTCTGGCTCTAATGTAGCAATCTAAAAGAGTGTCCAACCAGGCAATTTGGAAAATTTTTCAATTTATATATGTCTGGGTTTTTTTCACACCTGGTTGGTTTTTTCTTACCCGTCACCATGACAGTTAGTTATTTTAAAGCATTTAAGGTATTTAAGTTTGAAAAGCTAGAGTTAAATTAATGTTGTTTTATGAAAAACTGGTGTCCCTTAAAATTGTTTGCTTAATCTTGTCATAATTGAAGGAATGAAGCGATTAAGTTTTTTTCTACTAAGTCTTTTATAGGCGTTTACTGAAATAATTTATCACTCCTTTTACATATAATTTGAGCTAGATTGAATTAATTTATGAATCAATATGACCACTTACAATTTTATATTTAATTATTTTAGTTGGGACTGGGTTTGGTGTGAGCAAGTAAGTTGAACATTTTGAACACTGAACTGAAGGGTAAAAGTGTTCTTTCTTTACCACGGCAGAATACAGTACAATCCACAGTCCATCAACCCCCATTAAAGACTCAGATTCAGATAGATTGCGTCGTAGCTCAGATGGGAAATCACGTGGACGTGGCAGAAGAAACAATAATCCTTCACCACCACCTGATTCTGATCTGGAGGTACTATATATTAAATGTCTTTGACCTGTTACAGAACTTTATTTTATGTTCTCATTATTTTTATTAACACAAAGTGTTATTTACGCATCAAAAATAAAGGGGCATTGAAACTCCCTTTTTCCTAACAGTATTTTCATAGAAAATAGGATTTTTCTTCTAAAGAACCTTCTTCAGGAAGAGCTTCTACTTCCTTGGAAAAATACTGGGTGTTTCTTTCTCCTTTTGATTAAACAAAGCAAACAAACAAACAAACCAAAACAAACCAAAGTGGGGGGGGGAAGAAAGAAGGAGCAATCAATCTTTTCCCAAGGCAAAGGTTTTCATTTGGACAGGAGACACTTGTAGCACAATAGTGGGGTTTGTTCTCTCATGCTCTGTTCACATTCCTCCCAGTGGCCCAGAGTTTATGTTGAGAACACATCTCCAGTGACACACCACAGCTATGAGTGTCCACACTGCATTACTTTTCATTTGCAGAAGCTTACCCCATTTGTCATCATGGGAAATACAATCTCACCAGGATTTAAAATGTTTGTATTTGAACACTTTATTTTTCATTAAGTTATCATTTTGTGTGTGGTCAGAGGACAAATTTAAAACACATATTTTCCATTGTCTCTAAGCAAAAGAATTATTTTCCGATGCCATGTTTTATACTTACATCATCCAAGTTCATAGTTTTTGTTCTTCAAATGCCTAAAATGCATTAAAATTAACATAAGGGAAATAATTGCTAAGCAGCAATCTGCTTTGTTTTGGTTTTAGAGGTAATTTTCAAGGGCACTTACATGAATTTTTGTAAGACCTCTGTTTTGTAAGACTTGCAGAAATACAGAATTCTACCCCTGAAGATTTAATTTTCAGATGTTTCTCTTTGTTTATTTCTTATAGATAGTTTCTATCTCACATCAAGCTTCAAAAATTACGTTGTGCAGTCTCATTTTCTGTGTATATTTGACTATACTATAATTCTATTCTAACAGAAGGATTTGATATAATAGCAATATAGTAAAAGCTAACAGACTGTATTACCTTACCCTGGGGAAAAAAACTTGTTAGTATTGAAAATAATTGGCAGGGAAGCTATGATTTTAATATGCAACCATATCAGTACAACTTTCCCATTTGTGTGCTTACTGATTCAAATTTTAACTTTCCATTTCAAGTATTAGCTTCACAAAGGAACACATTGATTTGATTCTCTTTTTACAGAGAGTATTCATTTGGGATTTGGATGAGACAATCATCATTTTCCATTCCTTGCTTACAGGGTCCTATGCTAACAGATATGGAAGGGTAAGTGTCAAGAAACTGATGAAATTTTTCTGTAGTATTTGCTGGTTTATGGTTGATGCACAAGGAATATCAGAACATTAATTGATTTTTGGAGGCAAACTGGTACTGGCCTTACAAGACAAAAAAATACCAAGCTGTTTCACATGTCCATGCTTTGCAGTTGCTCAGCTCTTGTAGTCAGTACATATTTAAATAATGTTGGGATACTTGTTACTTGGGATACTCAAAGTTAGTACTTTGACCACTTGAGGTTTGGTTTGTAGATACAGGTTGTCTGAAACCGGTTGATATTGTCAAAATCTACAAAGATCTGCATCCCCTCAGAGAGTGAAGAACTTCCAGGAATGATTGCTATGATGGATTGGCTGTGCTCTATATTGAGAGGGAAAGAGGAGGAATGCTTTTGGACATGGCCAGATTAGTCTAAAATTTTTTGCCTTTGATTTTTTAAAAATCTAAATATTGACTGATGTTTTCAAAAGTCTGCTTATGAGTCAAATCTTTATATTATGCACAGTCTATAAATCATAACTGAACTGATGAATATGTCTACAGACAGCGGATTTCCTTGGTAATTCTCAGAAGAGAAACACGATTTTAGGTCAATAAGAACAGTTTATGAATGGAATGTCCTTATGAGATCAGACTTCTTTTTGCCAGGATTGTATTTGGAAGCTAACAGCTTGTGCTAAAATCTGTTACAGACTTTTATGTTCACCTCCTGTGAGTTATAACTGGAATGTGATTTTTTGTTAACCTCAAAAATTTCTATGTGTAAAGAACAACTAGTGTAAAGAACACAGCTTTATCTGGCTTCATGTAATGCCTCTGTCTTCTTGTAAAGCTTCTATTTAGCACTAAAAGGTTTTACCCTACACCCACCTGAGTGAAGGGCAAAGCTACCTCCAGTTCAGTCCGTACGTGGGTCAGATTCTGACTTTCTCTCAATAGATTTTTGCTATAATATCTATAAAAATCTAAAGCAGTACTACTTTGCAACCTTTCTTACTTGTTCAGGTAAGGTTTGTTTGCAGAAATGTTTACTGTAATAACAATGTATCTGTTTGAGGAATATAATTAGGTTTTTTCATTATATGTCAGAAAAACAAGTTAATTCAGCAGCCTTGGTTTCCTAGGTGTTGTTAGTTTATATTCAGTTAATTCAGCAGCCTTGGTTTCCTAGGTGTTGTTAGTTTATATTTAGATGGTAAAAAGAAACTAAAACTTACATGTTTCAACAATTATTGTCTGGATACATGTGGACAAAAGCACTTATAGAAGAGTATTAAATATTTACCAAAAGTTGTTTTCCATTTTTCAAACTAAACCAGCTTTTCTGTGGTACCCCAGAATCTATGACAATTTAGTTCAGAATGAGGAGAACAAGTCCAAGTGCTCACAGGAAAGCACAGTGACAACAGAACCTCACCACTGGCTTTTGGCCAGCAGAGTAGCACTGGAAAAGCCTAATTAATTAGTCTCTGCCATAGAAGTACTAATGTGAGCATATTTTTTCCATTTGTTACTAGTTCCCTGTAGTGGATTCATTAATTAGGACCCGAACATAAACACTTTATTGCTGGGTGGCTGAAGTTGAGGAAAGTGGCTGGGATTCAGTTGCAAGGAGATATAAATACGTACGCTGCAGGGAGGGGGCTGACTCCTGGTTGCAGCTCCATCACTGCTGGCACTGTTTACATAAGAAGTAGCTTTTGCCCAGCTGGCTCTGGTTTCATGGCATCTGGCACAATATTCCTGCATTACTAAATGACAGCCAACTGTTGATGCTGAGAGGAATGATGGCATTGCTGCTTAATCTTTGGATAAATACGAAATCTTTTTGGTGAGGGGTAGCAACATGCCTGTCCATGGCTCTCAGATGATGGCATGAAATTGTGCCATTCTGGCTTTGTTTTCCTAAGGTTTCATTAAAATCAAAGTTTCTCTTGGGCTATTGACAGCTTCAGACAACAGTTAGTAATTGCCAAGGATATTAGAGAGACAGTGTCAAATGTTCAAAGCAAACATGCTAAAACATGAGAATTTTAGGGTTTATTTGTGGCAGCAGAAGGTGCATGTTTTTAAAAGAGGGTTTGCCTGTGATTAATGGCCTTTAAAATCAGAAAGCCAGACCATAAGTTAATCTGAAAAAAAGAAAGTTGATGGGAATTATTGTTCTTTTCACCTGTATTCTTCTTTATGAGCAATCCAACATCATGTTCTCTTATAAATCTGCACTATGGTGAGGGCTAGAAATGGCCTTTTAAAAAATTAAATCTAGGGTGATCACATAATCATTAAAATACAAAAGCTGGATATTCAAACAAACAAAAATGTCCTAATTAAATAATAGGGGATTTGGCAACTTGGCATTCAGCTCTTTTCATAATGCCTGAGCGAGTTTCATGGTGAATGACTATGAATGATGTTCAGCCTTGCTGCTGAAGGGATTGATTTTCTCTGCCTAATTCTCTGCCTCATTCTTCCTAACTTCTTCCTTGTGCCACCTTTTTCTGTATATTCTTACTTTTTAATCTGTTTTTATCACCTGCTCTCCTTTAGCTGCTATTGTGCTCTATTTTCCTCCTGTTTTTTTCCTTCAGTTTTGTTGTAACATAATAATACTTTATTTTTCAGTTTACACAGTCGTGGCAAAAATTACTTCATAAAGCGCTACATTTTTATTTAAGGATTATTTGAATTTAATGGAAATATATGAAACTCTAATATGCCCTTCCAGAAGATAAGACAAAAAACCCAAGACATTTTCATTTGCTTTAGGATTTTTTTAACTATGTACAGAGAGAGACGTATTGATCAAATATAATGTAGCCAGTTAATTTAATTGACATTAGGGCTGATTAAATGTTGACATTTGGAAAAAGTTGGAGCCCTTTAAGGTCTTGGAGCAGGTGAAAATACATCTCAGCATTGGCACAGAATACTGTGGTCTTGACATACATTTCCATTCCCAGTGAAAGCAGTTACATGCAGAGGTTTTAAAGGAATTTTCCTTTAAATTATAAGCTATTTTATTGTGGTTTAATATACTTTAGAGATAGAGAAAAACAAAGCCTGGTTTCACTTAACCCTTCATTTTTGACCTGTAGGCTTAAGTGGAAAATAAGCCTGGTACCCAAAGTGAACTTTCCTGTTTTTCAGCTTCTTGTTTCTCCACCAAACAAAGAAATCAAGTAGGTAGAATTTAGAAATGACATACAGGCAATGTTTTGGCTCCAGTGCCAGTATTCAAAACAAAAGGCCTACTTAAGCAGGTTGACATTGGTATTTCTTTTCTTTAGTTAAACTGTACCTCCCTCAGAGATTTGTACCTGATTTTGACCATACCTGAAAAGACACTGGCTGAACCTGCAAATCCCAGGCAACAAGAGGAGATTGTTAGCTTTCCTACTCATTGTGTGACATCTCACAATAATTAGTTAGCAATTAGTGGCTTAAAATTGCAAAAGAAGGTTGGGTATGGGATTTTTTTTTTAAAACCTTGTTCTAGCCTTGGCTTTTTTTAAAGTTTACAGCCCCCACTGTAATGTCTGATGGCAGAGTTTGATATACTATGATGCTTTAAACCAAGGTTCTTGTACTTTTCATTAGAGCAGTTGCAAGTTTGTGACTACAGAGATATTTAAAATGCTAATGCAGATAATGTTTTTGCTTCAGTTAAATATGTAGGTACCAAGAGCCACAGTTTAACACAGTTTTTGTGTTAAGGTAGAACTTCCTATACAAAAAGATTGTATTTAAACTAGGAATTAAGCTTTCTTTGAAAAGCAATCCGTTCTGTTTATTCTTTTAGCTTTTGTGTTATTTAATCTGACACTTTCAGTAGGTGCCAATGAGTTTCTTACATTTTTTCTTCCTAATTAAATTAACCTAAAAATGACATTATTATCGTATTACTTTAGAGAAAACCATTTTATTTTATTTCTGCCATGTAAAAATACCTTGGAGTAAAATGGTTAGAAAGCTTTACAAAAATCTCTTTTTACAGACTCAGAAATGTGATAAAAATGTTCAATAATAAAAAAACCAAGTCATGTACACTGAAATGTAAAATATATATTTTCAGCCATTTGTTTAAAATTAGTCAAATGGGTTCATAACCAATATCATGCTCTGTTGCCCATTTATTCTGCTTTTCAAAATGATGTTCCTATTTAGGGATGGAAGTCAGAAGGGAAATATTTCTATCTTTTTCCATTAATAGTTGATACTCAAGATCTTCATTTGCGTCTTAGACATTTAGCCCCTCTAATTCCTTTAATAAATAGAACAGAGGCTCCTGTGAAGTGTCTTCTGTTACTGCTCAGGCACAAGAGAAATCTTTGTCGGTTTTTTAAAAAAAAGAAGCCCGATGAACTGTAGGATGTGTAGGATGATGAGCTGCTAACTGGGCACAAAGATAAGCAGAAATGTCAAAATGTCAAAAGGAGAAAAAGCCTCGGGCTTAGCTAGAGAGAAAATACCACCTGCTTTCCACCTCACATGCCTACAAAAGTAAAGCAGAGGAAGGCATAGGTCTACAAATAGAACAATATTAAAACAGAGAGACAGAATACTTTTGTTCATATTTCAAAGTCATATTTCAAAGTGTTTCCATTTGGACTAAGAAGCCAAATATTCCTCTTTTTTTTTTTTTTGGCTGTGCCAGTTTAAATAAAATACTTCTTTTTAAGGGCAAAGTTCATCAAAATAGCATGATGCAATTTTTTTCCCCATACGCAATTTTTTTCCCCATTTATAAGGGCTATTTTTTTTTTTTAAACTTACTCTTAATGGATATGAGTTCAAGAATAGATTTTGTCTGCTCAGTGTAACTTTGCTTTGAAATTTCAAAAATTCTTTCTCTGGATAGCAGTTCTTGGGTTTTGGCATTTCCAGAAGGCAAACAGGCTGCCAAATCACCATTCTTTTCCAGCTCTTCAGTGCTGACGCATTTTGCCTTTTTAACCAGTAGCTACAGAAAAATGTTTGAAAGTTCAGAGATCATGTTGGAGCATCTATTAATTTGATTGAGGGGTGGAAAAAGAAACTAAGGACTGCATCTCTTGCTTTTTAACTGTGACTTGTCATCAAGTTTAGAATATTAGCTTATTTTAAGTAAAATATGGGTTGCACTTCTTCAGTTCTATTTAAAATATAATTCCTAACAAACTAACATTATTAATAGAGGCTGTTGGGGGATAATATGACATGTTCTTTCAAACTTATGCTCCTGTGCTCCTGGATAGACTAGGCATTATAAATGAGAAACTCTATATCAAATGTATGTATTAGGGTCTCTTTTCAATTTTTCAGATTGAAAATATATAAAACACCCAAAAAATCAAAACAAGACAGACATCTGTAATGCATTTGGTAACCACAATGCTGAACATGCTTTTTGAGTTTATTAGCTCAGTAAGGAGTAAGTTGTTACGGTAATTTCTGTAGAGAAGTTAAAGTGTGTTATGTATTAATAACAAACAATAGTTTTGTTCACTCTGCATGGGTGGGCCAAACTGGAAATGTAATTAAAGCTTTTTTGACAATCAAGGAGTGGTTTTAAATATAATTACCATTTGCAAATAAAACGTTAATAGTTCTTTGCTTTAAAGTCACTAGGTATTCCCAGGACTGAATCCTGTCATTTGTGACCAGTTTATTTTGAGTAACAATAGTATTATCATACCCCTGCTTGATCATAAAACTTGTGAACAGTTGTAGAATCTGGAGAAGTTTTAGGTGAAATGGATTTGCCCTTCCTGCACAGAGCAAAGAGCCAGTGCCAGGGATGCATGAAGGGGACCACAGAAGTCCCACTGCAAAATCAAGGAGTTAGTTGAGTTAAAGTCATATTTTTGAGTGCTAAAGTAATATTTTTGAGTGCTGCTGGGAAGTGTTGTAGTACAGGGTGAGGCAGTTGCTGGACTGAAACTGACAAAGCAGATGTTGCATTTGATACAAGCAGCATGTTATGGAAAGCTGTTCCTCCAGTTTGTAACTGGGTATGTGTGTTAGGCACAGTACTGATGGTGTACTTGCTTAATTTCTTCTTTAAGGATCCTCCCACTTCTGTGTCCCTTGGACTCCGAATGGAAGAGATGATTTTCAATTTGGCGGACACGCATCTATTCTTTAACGATTTAGAAGTAAGTGTTCATTCTTTTAAAACAGACATGATCTGATATTTAATATTTGTCTGGTCTTATGTGTTGTTAGATGCTTTGACAATTATTTACAGAGTTTCAATACAGAAATGCATAGAAAATAGCTATATCATTTAGTTATTGGGATATATAATAATATCTACACTAAATGTCTGCACTGACCTTCAAAGGTTACTACAGTTTAAATTGTAGAGTTTTGTCCTCACAGGTTTTAGCACTTATGGTGACAGTAGACAAGTTTCAGAAGTGGATACACTGAAGGAACCTATAAGCATACAGAATTCAATAGTCTGCACAGGCCATTAAATATTAAACTCCAGCTTCTATAAACAGTTGATGGCTGGGTACAGATTTCTTGCTTACATCCCACGGTGGCAAGTGTTACCTTAGCCCCGAGGGACATCATAAATGTTGTATGGGCTGTCTGGGAGCTGTTCCTGGGGCTGCTGTGCCTGCAGCAGGCACAGGGTGTTCTGAGCCAGGGTGCCTCTGCCTGCAGCGAGGAGCTGCGGGTGCCTTGCCAAGAGATTTTTTAGCCTACACAGCCTATGGTTTGGCAACGCCTGGGAGATCCTTCCAAAGCTCTCCAAGCTGCTGAAAGAGACTGTCACTGTAATGCCTGGCTGTTTCATCTTAAAAGGGAAAAAAGCAATTTCTGATCACATTTTAATAATGCAAAAACATGAAAACAGTCAGATTTCTTTCCCATCATAGTGAAGACAGCTGTTTATTTAAAATCCAGCTGTTAAGCAAGCTTGTGGTGGGGCTGCCAACACACATTAATCATCAAGTTGTTGTTTTGCTAGATTTTAGAATAGCGTGTTATTCCAGACAGCAAAAGAATCTAAAAGATTCAAATGCAACTTTTGCTGATCAAAGTTAATTGGCAGCAATTGGCCTTTAAATATTTCCTGATGTTTCCCTTTTCAAAATCAAGCAAAATACACCTTATTCAATAGATGAGCCAAAATAATTTGAAAAATGCCAGTGTGTGATAGACCTCAAATGTGGTTTGTCCAACATCTGTCCTATATTTTGATTTCTTTTCATCTAAAAAGAAACCACTCACAGATGATTTGGCATCTAAGAATGTAATGAAATTATTGAACATGCTTTTTTTTCTTCCATTCCTTAGAGTATTTATTTTTTATACTTACAGTAAAATAGCTGGTTTCTTTAAATTTTAAAGTAGCATTTTCATCCATTAAGGTAGCTGTGTTTAAAGATATGATTGTTTTGGATATAAGAAGCACCAATGAGTTGCATATATAAGACTTATTTTTCAGGTTTATCTAAAAATATAACAATGCTAGTGATTCTCCAACTCTGTTTCTGATTATATTTCATTTTAACCAGAGCAGAATGAAAAAGTGCTACTCTTTCTGTATTTAAGTATATTTAATAAAGTTCAGTGTGTTTTCATTTGCTATGCAGAGCCAGATATGTAGCTACTTCATACGGGATTGTCAACCTCACTGACTTTAATAGAAGTTAATCAACCACATCTTAAGGGTGGCAGATTATCTTCTGCTAATAGACATGCTGCAGCCTTAACAATACAGCACGGTAGTTCATTCACTCAAGAACGTTGTAGCTGTGTATAAGAAAACAGCTGCTGGTTCATGGAGGCAGAGGAGCTCACTGCTAAGCCTGATTCTTTGCATTTCCACCATAACAAGCCAGTTTATGTTGTATGTCCAAACTGAAGTGTAATAGTTTGTGTAGCCTGGTCTGCCTTCCTCATACATAGGGGCACCCAGGAGTGAGCAGTTGTGTGCATGTCCTTGTACACCAGCCCTAATCCTTATGGCTGGGGAATATGAGCTCCAGTCTGAGGGATCATGCCTTGCCCAAGGGGTGAAGAGCACTTTCAGTGAGCATAGACAAGCCTTCAGAGTACACTTCCTTTGTGGGAAGCAGCATGTAAGGACTAGACCTCATCACAGTGGCTTACTCTCCTGGGGCTTTCAGTTCACCAGCTGTGACAGATTTTTGAACATGTCACAGAAATGTGGTGTTCTTGAAGGAGCATGTACTTCTGGAGCCACAGTTTGTCATTCTTGTGAGCATCACCACTGAACTAGCAGGGCCTGCCAGTTTCCCAAGGGCTGTGACCTCAGGGCAGATTCCTTACCTCCTTCTCAGAAACTCAAAAGTCCTTGCTTGATGATTTGGAAGTGCAGGCTGCTCACTGCTTGACAGGCTTTCAGGAAAACTGTGGACAATTAGGTTTGGATATGCCTCAGGCTTAAAGCATCTGTTCTCACTGATGAAGAGATGAGTCTGAAAGATCTAGCTCAGGTCTAAGCTTTCCAGATCATCAGCACAAGTATCTGGGCTGTTGGGATTGAAAATATTTGTTAGGCACATTGCCTGTGAGCTGCAGAGCTTGGGTATTCTTGCCCAGCAGTAGTATGAAGAATGGCAAAGCTGGATTTGGAACATATCTTACCCACAGAGTAGACGTGTCTTTGAGCCTAGGCTTAATTCAAAGTGAGAACCTGAAAGCTGATGCCCTCTGCCTCACCCAGGCTCAGAGGGAACCCTTCTTGGCACATAGAGAGGCAGCTTTTAAATCCAGGCAATCATCTGTCATAACTTTGGCCTATGATGCACATTTTTCCAGATACCACAAGTTAATGTTTTTATATAAAAAAATCTTCTTTCATCCAACACATTCCAGAAAACTCTATAATCAGAATAGCTCTCTTGTTATCCAAGTGAAAATACCTTTTTCGTCTTATAAAATACTGAAGATGGAATGAACATTTTGAATGCAAAGGGCAGAGTTGCAGCAGTGAGCTCTGAAGCAGAGTTTGATTTATGTATGACCTAACTGGCTTTTCAAAGCTCAGCCTAGAGGTTTAGGAATGTTATTATGTTAAGTACTAAACTTTGGCAGTCAATTTTTAGTCTGTGCAAACTGAATCCATGCCAATGTGAATCAGTTGAATTTAGTAGGGGGTACAGGCAAGTAAATGGATAATCTGTTTTTATGTATGTTGTTCTTTATGTAGTAATAATAATAATAATAATTGTAATTAAAAATTTCAAAGTCATTGAAAAAATTCAGTCAGACCTCACTATCTAGCTTTGAAGTCAGTGTTCTGTTTCTGGATGTGTGAACTACAGTTAGATTTGCACCCTTGTATTAGTTCTTATTTTATTGCTTTGAAAAAAATAAAATAAATTGCTTATTTCCTTCACTTTGCACAGATTTATTTAGGGTAATTAATTCCAAAGTGATGTAACAGCAAATAATTTCCAATCTTTAAAATTATTCCTTAAACAGCATGTTAAAGGGGTATGACACGATTTTTAACATACTGAAAAGAAAAATATTAATGTTTACTTATGTGTAATTTGATATAAATACCATAATAAACAGTATTTTCATGCAGTAATTAGCAGTAATTTAATAATGAAATTATAGAACTGTACTAGGCTAAACAGTAGAAAATAGTGCATTGTTCTAAAAATTTAGATTCCAAAATCTGCATTTGGGCTTCTGAACAAAAGCTTTTGGTTTTCAGTATTGAAGTTTTATATTTAAATGTCTCATACTCTCTGTTTTATAGTTGAATTTTAATTGTGTGCAAGAGGAAATAACTGCATTGATGTAGTGCCCTCAAGAGAACCACAGTTATCTCATCTGAAAAGAATGCTTGATTTTGCATGCTGATTATGTTGTGATAGGGATAATAAGGTATAATATTTTAAAGGTGTATATGGAGCAATTATACATATTATGTATTTTAGGAGGTATGCTCCAGTGTTTTAGGGAAATGAGCAACTTGATGATAGGACTAAAACGTGACATCCACTGAGGTGATCAGCTCTGGTGCAGATGTGTTCTACAGCAGAGCCCGGGACTGTGGCAGCCACGGGGGATCCTCAGCCAGGGAAGCCCCAGGGGAGCACAGAGACCCACCAGGAGCCGGCTGCTCTTATGAGAGTGGCTTACTCTCCCGGCATGTGTGAGGCCAGGGTAGTGGTGGCCAATCCCTCTTGCCAAAGCAGGCAGCCCTAGTGAGCACTGTGGCCAGGAGCACGTGGCCAGGGCAGGCAGACAGGTCGTGGTGTGGCAGTTTGCTTGGCAGGGTGCACAGGGAGGGTGACAGCTCAGAGGAGGGACATCCACTGGCCAAGTGCAGACACGTGAAGTCTACCAGCAACCAAGCACCATTCTGTAGCCATCTGCACAGGTCAGGGGCACTCATCCTACCTGTCTGCCAAGGCAGAATGGTGGGCACTCATCTGAGAGCAAAGGCTGCAGCTCACATGGGGGATCTGCACCATCTGTCCTGACAGTGGCCAGTGCCTCCATGCAGACAGGGCTGGTGAAGAGCAAGACTGCAGTGCAGAACTCAGACGGCAGAAAGTGAATAGAGGCTTCTCATGGGGCAGGGACAGGACAGCAGACCTGCCTGCCAAAGGTGTGCCAGGTGGAGGAGCTCCTGTGGCAGGTGGCTGAGCTGCAGGAGGCAGCAGGAAGACTGCATAGCATTGGGGAGGCTGAGAAGAAGTTGTATAGCTGGTTCAGTGCAGTTGCATAGCTGCTTCCAAGTGCAATCTGCAGGAGACCCATAGCCCATGGCCAAACAGCCAAAACCTCCCCCACTAGCACATGCAGAAGGGAGGGGGAGCAATAACATAGCAAGGACCTGCAGGAGGAAGACACCTCCCCAAAACCTGAGGTGCCCCTGCAGAACTGCTTCACTGCTGTGCAGACTAAGGAGAGACACATCACACAGGAGAGATGCTGGAGCTGAGTAAGGAGCTTGACCCCATACACCCCCCAAGTAACAATGACAGCAACTACGAGTAGTAGGTAACTCACTTCTGAGAGTCTTATTTGCCAGCATCAGATGCTCTCTGGAGAGGTGTGATGTTGGCCAGAGCTTTGTATTAGGGGTGTGTCTCTGGGGCTGTGACCCCAAGACAGGATGCCACCAATAGACTGCCAAGCCTCATACTGTCCT